TTTGTCAACCCACCTGGGATGATTTGAAATTGGGGTGCACATCTGTTCCATTTGGGTGATGGCTAGAAGGCTTCCAAGACTCGGCACCTCCCTGCAAAGCAATGCTTACAAGGGATTTGTAGGTCATGGTTAAGAAACATTTTTTAATAACTCCTGATACCCATAGCTTCTGGACATAAGCCCTTTCCATTTGTAGCAGTGAGCAACATCACTGCTCACGGTACCGTGCATTCTGTAAAACCAGCCAAATGTGCCTCAAGAGGAGGAGAAAACAGCAAGAACCCACACTTAGCCAAAGGCAGTCCTGCCCCAGCAGGAGGGAGCAAACTACAACTGCAAGCTCCAAACTGAGGTTCAGAATGGACTGTCAGCTACCAGGCTTCCCACCAGCCACAACAGCTGGTTCCCTACCAGCAAGAACTTTGTACTCAGTCCTGCAGTTCTTTCCCAGACTTTCCCCAACCCAATTCTCAGAGGACTATGGAATAAGATGTGCTATGAAATAATTATGTGGCTGCTTTGTGAATTATGGTGTGCAATGGAAAATTATGTTATTAGAACATTTGCTCTTGTTTCCCCTATGACAATCAATACATTTGCTTTTTGCATATATTTAAACATTCTCTTAACACCAAAATATCCACCTATTGGTATTTTCTTTGACATCCTTTTGGCAGCATCTGTTATTTGAATGAAATCAAACACAGACAACACATTATTGTGGAACACAGTTATTGAAAAGAAAGAAATCTGGAACGTAGCAAAGTAAGGGGGGAAAACTTACCTTTTCAAAGGTGACGTGCTGCAAGTGCTAAAAAGAGCATCATCTTCACATCAAATCAAGCAAGGTACAGGATTCAAGGAACAGCGTGCCAAGAGGCAATTTCTCAGCAAGATGTTAGCATCAGAACACAAAGTGATGTGTCTGGAAGCAGAACTGCTGAGCTGCAAACAACCTGGGTGTGAGTCAGAGAACATTAGGACAGTGCCTGTCCACCAGGGATACAGACTTGATTGCATGTGACTTGTGTCAACTCTGGAGACATCAAGAGCAGAACATAAAAGCAAGGCAACAGATACATTCCTAAATGAGCCATTCAGCCTCTAAGGCAATGAATCTGGCAACAACTCAAGTTCCAAGGGAAAAAGTCTACAGTCCAGGTTTGCATTCCATGGTTATGTATCTTTCATTCTTTTCTTTTTTTTTTCTCCAGGAAGAAGGCCACTGAAACATCCTGTTTTAAATCATTAAAAGACACAATCATCTCCTTTTAGACTAGCTCACAACTTTGAAAACAGAATCCAATTGCCCGTTCAGGCTCATTAGTGTCTTTGGATCCTAATGACCCACTCAGTTGCAGCAAATGAAAAACTAATCCTTGTTTTATGGCACTGACCACAAAGGATTAGCCAACTCTTGCTGCCCACGCAATCAGCCTCGCACTGGGGAGATTATTGCCACCTAATACTGTAAGTCTACACATTCCAATCTGTTACAATAAGTAGCACTTAAAGCTTATTTCCTTGAAATGCTTAAGCATGTTAATGCTATCTGTAAGATTGTTTTCTTACAGTGCAATTATCCATCTACTACCGCCCTTAAAGTTTGCTTTTATCTGTATACGTGCAGTGATGCCTCTTGATATCCAGCATTGTCTTAACTGTATTCATAGTCTTGAAATAAAAAGCAAAAATAGAATATTTTTCCTTAAAATAGGCCCCAAACGTGGCAGGCAAGCATTAAAAGAAATGTCAATGGAGTTCAGTGCAGTGACATTATTGAACTGTATGGAAAGGCTGCAACTTGGACAGTAAAGAGTTGCAAACAGTTTTAATTAATTGCTTGATGGTTAGACTTCCAGGTGTATTTTTGGCATCCTACAGTTAGTCTTAACAGGTAGCTAAACATAGGGCTAGCTGCTTACATTTAATGTTCTCCACCCAATACATGAGTGGTAATTCAGTTTTGTACCACTTGTTTCAGTGCAATTTCTCCAGCTCAGCATTCTGCTTGATACATTACTCATAAAGTGAGTGGACAGTTTAAGAAGACAAGACTAGAGTGTGATGCTGTGTACTATTCTTTCCCCCTCAGCATACTCACACAATAGTACTGTTGAAATTTTTATATGGAAATGAATCAAATTCATCACTATTATATGCCCCATTCACACCTGAACACCAAACAGGTTTTTTATCTGATATAAAATGAAGGAACACTTACATTTGTATCACCTTAAGGATTATATATAATAGCACAATGAAATTTGTCCTGAAGAGCACTATGCCATGCATGTATGTTTTATATTGATAGACTCAGAATGAAGTCACAGAAAAGGAATAAATTGCTAGTTGCTTGAGTGGAAACAGTTTGATGAATGCTTAATTTTCTCTCAAAGGTGTTGTGTGAGGCCATAGAACAGCATTACATGAAAACAAACCCTACATCCTACAACTGCTGGATATCACTGCAGGCTGGCTTTACTTCATAGTTTCTACGTTAATTTTTTGCATGAAATCTGTCCAGCTGTTGCTTATTTGTTAGCTAACCATTCTATACTGTTCATATGATGACCCTTAAAGGCCATCTACTCCAACTCCCTTACAACAAACAGGGACACTCACAGCTCCATCAGGACTTCTCTAACGCTGGGTGGTACGCTAGATTTTATGAGGAATTTTCAAGTGAAACAGTTTTCTGACAAAAATGTGACTCTAAACTTTGATGAGATGGTAAAAAAAATTTGCCTTCTGATTACAATGCATGTACAAGATTCAGAGTCAATGCCCTGCTCTGTTTATTTAAGAGAAGGTGAGTTTTTGTAGCATTATTGCCTTAGAGCTCAGTTATGAACCTGCATCCTATTTTATTAGGTGCCATACAAGGACAGAACAGGACAACCTCTGCTTCCAAGTGTTCACAGTACAAGCACACGTGTGACCATGTGACTGCTACAGGGAGAGCTGCACTGCCTTTAAGAGATCTCAGCCCCCCAGCTGCCATTGCTATTCCATTGCTGGAGCCTACTGGTCTCCAGCTCAGCTGCACTCCTCATCTATTGGAATCTAGAGTCAACTAAGTTGGCTTCCCACACTGACAGCAGTGATACACATCACAACTACCAACTCTGCTTTGAGGAATGAGGAACAGGCACACAGTCCTTCAACTTTATCTACACAACAGGGACAGTAACAGCAAATTACAATTGGTAATGAACAAAAAGCTCCTTGTTTTCAAATCACCCTTGCTACATTGACAAGAGGATCTTTATCTGCACCCTTTGACAAGAGGTGGGTGTAATCAGGTGTTCACAGAAAGGACAGAGAAAACAAAATCAGTCAGCATCTGAGTCTCAGCAATCCAGCAACACAACCACTATTGATTTGATGGGCATGATAACAAGGGATCATTTTCAGGCAAAACTTGACAGACAACAGTAAAAAGTCCCAGTGCATGTTCAAAAGTCATTAATGCTTGTAAGTATCTGAGAAGTATTCAAAATACTGAGCTGTTGCTTTTTATGAAGTAGTTTTCTCTTTCTTACAATCAACCAACTTATCCAATTCCTCTAAGTAATCATTCAGCAAGATGTAGAACTGTTTCTCCCACTTCAGCCAGCAGCCCTCTTTACGGCACTATAATGGCAGAGATTGGGATGACAGAATTCATCAGATGACAGGAAAGCGAGGTTCAGTTATGGAATAGCTGAGCTAGTGAAACTGCACTTTTCAGCTAAGTGATGTCAGAAGATTCTCAGCCAGTAGCATACCCTAGAACTATCCCAAATATCAGACAGGCCCTCCAAGTCCCTGTGTTAAAACAGCCCTAAGTCATTTAGGGGTTTGGCAGATAGGCAGTGGCATAGATGACAGAGCTTTGGGTCAGTTAGGGTTTTGCAGGTAAATAGAGAGAAGGGGAACTCTACTCCGCTGTGGACTTTATAATTAGAGTTTACTGGCATACTGTGCAGACTATAATGGTAGGATGCTGTTTGTCAGCCTGTTTCACCTAGTTCAGGTGTTCTTCTAACTAGCTTGCACATCTGCAATGCCTTCTGTTCAATTTCCTGCATTGTCTTCTTCAATTTCCTTTGCTTCCATTCCAGCACCTTGCTTGGTTGCTGTTAGAGCATTTATTTCACACTATGTGACTGAGAAACAGATTTCCTCTATCAAGGAACCAAGAACTGATGGTAGGGGTTTTACATATAACATTAAAAAAAAAACAACTCAAAGTGTCCTGGTGTTTCCCTCAAAAACCATAAATCTGAAAGTGCTGCTGGTGGAAACAGTTCTGAGGGACTCACTGTGTGCTGACATGGCAGCTCGGAACAGACTGCATTCCTGACTGACTTGGTACTATCTTCACCACCAGTCATTCCAGAAGGAAAGCCATTTGTGGAGAACTGGTGCATGTATTTGTACTGACCACAGTTAGACTTTGGAAACTGTCTGATCTTGTATATTTAAAACAAACTAAAACTACAACATCAGATGAAATGGAAGGCCCTTACTTTGCTTTCAGTGTTGTAAGCTAGAAAGACAGAACTTGAGCATTATTATTACATCATTTCACTTCATATCTTAAGAAATAACTACAAAACTTTACATAAAAATCAGTGAAAATGTTTATTTCAAGAATTTTATAACAGATAACCAATTTAAGAACAGTAACTCAAGTTCAGCTTTGTCCAGAACAATAAACAGTTACTTTTTTTAATGTTTAAGTCAGAGATTCTAAGTATCAAGGAGTTTGGAGGCTCTCACAGATAAGGAAATAATTATTCCACATGCTACCTTAAAATGGCATATCTGCTACTTCCAAGAGACAGTTTAGGTAGATCATAACATTTTATGAAAACAACATATTTAGAGAAGAAATAAGAAAAATAAAAGCTGCATCTCAAAGCACGCACTTGATGAACGTACACGCACTCTTGCAGCAATTGCAATAATGTGTTGTTATGTGAAATGCTTTGTACTTTAACTTACGAAAACAGAAGCATTTGTCAAGGCTAAGTAGGAAAAGAATTTAAAAGGAAGTCAGAGGTATTCAAAAGAATGTAGATGGCTTTGTATTTTGCAAGGAAGAATGAAAACCTTTCACAGAAGGAGACTGCGATGATCTTTGATCTTGTCCAAATGCAAATAGAAAACTGAAGTCATCTTTGCCATCTCCAAAAGCATGAGAAGTTGATTCCAAAGGGAAGGGAAAGGCAAACGCGTCCTCACTTTCTGATTTCCCAAATAAGCTTCCTATATGGAATACGTAATATATTACTAGATTAATTTTTACTGCATTCAGCATACTTTTCTTTAATATTTTACTCCCAACGCTTGCTGAGTGTCAGAGGAAAATATGGTTTACAATGTCTGATTCTCCTGCCTCACTTGTGCTGTTTTTGTACTGTGCACCTACATTGATTTAAACTTATGATCTAGGTTTCTCTCATCATTTGTAAGCTATTTTCATTCCAGTTGTGGGGAGAGGGAAACAATAGATCTGTTCTTCCAACACCAAGCTAGTAGCTTTAACTTAAAAAACTGCATTTTCCAAGTACGATAACTTTTACATTAACAGAACAGATTTCTTTTTAGGAGTGAAAAAGCTTACAGAACTTTGACACTTAAAATCTTTTCTCCCCTCTTGCTGTTCATCTCAGAAGGAGCAGGGGTTGCATGAGGTGTGTTTGAAGCACTCTCTCACACCTGTTTTTTCAGGACATCTCAGACATTCAAATCCCATAAGACAGGTATTTTGAGAATAAAACTAAGCTACTCAAAATACAAATTGACACAAGAAGCCACTAAGCAGGGTTATCACAGATCAGTATGCAACAAATGAGCATTTTTTAGACAACCAAAGGTGCCTTGTTAAGCAGAATTGTGAGCTCACCTGCCATATAAACATAAATAAAGTACAGCTGATAGACACAAACACTTTCTAATTCTTTCCACTTTTAGACTTACCAAAATCTTTATGTGGTGACATGGGATTCAAGTTTCCCACAGAATAACCTTCATCTATCTGAAATGTAACAGTCATTTTATTTAACAAATGAGAAAGAAAAAACCTAAGTTCTAATGCTGACACATAATAAGTGAAAAAGACACTTTGCCAGTGAATATCAGTTTCTAAATTTAACTTTATATGTCAAACCCTGAAGTTTCAAGGTAAGCTCTTCAATAAGCTTCATGTTTTGTTTACATCTACAAATGCACACTTTCAGACTTTCTGGAACAAAACACCAGATTGTAAACAGGCCAAAACCTGATCTGATTTTCTGCTGTTTTTTAACCTGAAAAGATTCAAAAATATTTAATTCTGCAAAATTTTAGAAAACCTCTAAGAAACAGCAGTTACAGCCTCCCAGTAGGATTTGACGTGGCCAGAAAGAATGATCAAATAAGCACTTACTACACTTCAGAAGAGCTCTTAAGCTCTTTTTATAATGGATAAATAAGTTCAAAACTCCCATCTGACCACAGATTAAAGTGACTGCTAGACACTGCTTAATTCCTGAGCTTTCACAGTATAGCATGGGCTCTGAGAGCATTACACAACTTACCTACGCACTTCCTTCACTTTACCTACACCCATCTCCTTCCTAAACCATTCACAAACTACTCACCAGCCTATTCTCTCCTATAAGCTGCTGATGCCAGGTAGCATCACCGACACATTCTTCACTAAAGACAAAATAAAAACGTGGTTTCCCTCCTTCAGCTTTCACCTAGTAACTGCAAGACTCAGCACACCCACTGAAATCTGAGATACCTGGATTACATTCCCTTATTTGCACAATGAATGTTCATTACAGTGAGTGATACCTAAGTAATGCACTCCACACTGGTGCACACCTATCTCAAATATCCAATTACATATTGCTAGCCTGGAAAGGAAAAAAAATTACTGTAGAGCACTGTAGTTAGGCAAAGGATAAGAAGTGTTACCAGGGTTCCGGGCTCTGTTTTAATTAGCTACCTATCTGTTGCCTTGATTTAAATATAGCTGCTAATACATACTTACATTTTAACATTTCTAATGGATGAACTTTTCCTTCCCTTCACATTCCACACTGTGTGAAATATGGAGGATCAAAACCTAACATTTTAAGTGACTGATTCCCTGCTACAGCCAAACAAAACCATACAGGATACTCATGTGAGTGGTATCTACAATTTTGCATTGCAATGCTGAGTCAGAAACCCTTTTTGTAAATCTAGCTATCTGTGCATCTGCATAGCCATATGAGAAAGATTCACACTTGGTCACAGGTCATCACATGGGCAGATAAGGAGATAATCATTTTCAAAGGATACCCAGTGTAAAATTAAGCAAGCTCTAAAAAGACACTCGCCAAAAAGCAGTCTGGTTTGGAAAAAAAACATTCACTGTTATTATTACTTCCTCAGCATGTTTTGGCTTTTGGAAATTTAATATTCTTAAGTACTAATTTTTACCTCATCAGATGAATTTTCTGCCCCAAATACAGAAGAATCAAACAAATTAAAGCCAGGTGACTTCTGGGAGATGCCCAAAAGAGAAAAGAAAGCAGGAGATTTTGATGCTGCTTCTTCACAGCCCATGTTGTGAATGCTGTAAAGACAAAAAGTTAGAAACTGCATCAATGGTTTTAAAAAGTAGCACAGGTGGCTTTTTTTCTTTCTGACTTTCCTACATTTCTATAGCTTCCATCAATAATTGCTTCCTGCAAGACATAACAGGTGACACAACCCTCTACATCAGAGTGAGGTGGTGCTCTTAATCAACTCCCTTCCTTTTGCTCTCATGCTCCAAGAAAAAAATGCTTAAAAAAAACAGTCAAAAGAAAAGCAGTCTACAATTCAAGTAGAAATGATATTGCAAGAACAAAGTCTAACTTAGAAAAAATTTGTATTTTGTCTTTTTTTTTTTTTTTAAGAACTTTCTATGGAAGACTTTCTATAGCACCTTTCAAAAATTCTGGAAATACTGGAACAATAAGCATCATTACAATTTTGCTCAGGAAACCTGGACAAAAGCTTTATTCGTACAAGTCAAATGGAGGTGTTTTGGAAAACTGGGTTTTCTTCCCCTTTGACTCAGGTGTTCCAACAAACTCCGGTGTTTCAGGTGCTCTTAGAAAACGTTCTGCACCTTCTGCTGCTGTGTCAGGATTATTCTCATTTGGCTTAAAATACGTGTGTCTGTCCTGTTAAGAAATATACAACAGTATTTATGGCACATGTAATTTCCCAAAATAGGGTTAGTCCGTTTCTCTAAGCATGCTCATTGTATGTTTTAAGGTTAGTTATTTTTATTTGCATGAAAAATAAAGGCAATTTAATTAAATGCTTCCTGTTACATATTCACCATAGTTACAACTGAAACCTTAATTTAACTGATTAAAAATTGACTTCTTCCAATTGAAACTACATATGAAAGTTCTTCATTCACACACAAAAAAACATTTGAGTTGGTTGAAAACAATGCCTTGGTTTCTTTCTAAATCATCTCTTAGCTTATGCTTTAAGTCACACTGGAATCCTCTTGATATTTCCTAGCAAATTAAAGGAACAAACCATCAGAGTATGCATTATCTCACTGAGAGTATTTTCTCTTTTTCAGGAAATGTTAACTGAGAATGTACACTTGGATTCTGTGGAGCAATTTTCACTAAACTCAGTATTGTTGAACATTAAGAACATACTAAGAACATTGTTCTCCACCAGTTGCCTGCGGGTGTCAGCCTGTAGTAAGCCAGCGAGAGGACGCTGAGTGTCTCAAACTTGATCTCAGTATCACCTGCATATGCAAGGTGTACACAGAACTGGCTTCAATAATATGGCATGGAGCCTAAATTCCCATTCAAGTAATAAAAGCCCAATAAAAGCAGCCACTCAGAATCTGTGGCCAGCACAGAGCCTACTTTCTATGCTATATTTCTGTGGGATAAGTGAATTTCAAATGCAAAAAAATGTTCAAATGTATCTTATCTTACACAGATGAAAACATCACACAACAGTTCTATCTAGAAACTATCATGTGCATAGGACAGTTGTCCTCAATGTCCCATTGTCAAGGTAACATTAAAAAACCACAGAATGCTGATATGCTCAAGGTCATCCTCCTAGTAATCAGAAGGAATGGCTTCTGTTGGTTGCCTTACAATGAGTCATTTTGACAATTCCTGAGAATTACAATTAGTTCTTGCCAAAAGACTCAAATACATCAAGTTAGATTGACTACTGTAAATAAAATAACTGCTTATGACATTAAAATGCTCTGCTTACTTGAGGTATGTAAGAAGAATCCTTAGGCTCATCTCCTGCTTCTTTATCATCACATTTGGCCTCTTGGTCTTCTATGCAAAGAAGACAGCACTCGTTATATTATAACAGCATTTTAAATGGATAAATAAAAATTACATGGTGAGGAAGAATCCTTGTAAAAGATTTATTAACTTGGCATTGCTGTTGATAAGGAAGTGTTCTGACTGTAGTTTCCATAATAACCCACTCTGTGGCAAATTTTCATATTTTCCTCCTATTCTGCCATTTATTATTGTCAAAGCTATACTAAGGGTGCTTCATTTTGTCTGGTAAGTTCTTCAACTTTAGCTGTCATTCCCTGAGAGTGCTTATTTTTGCCCAATCCTTCTGTTGCACTCTGAGAATGCTCACACCAGTCAATAGGAACCACATGGAAACAGTATAAAAGTCCATGAGACTGAAGAAATGTCTTAAAGACCTGGGCAAAAGCTAGCATAAGAAATGAGAAGAATGTTACTCAAATTTCTGCTCTAAGCTTGAGACCACGCAATGTTTCACACACTAGAAGTTAAGATCTTGTGTTTTAAGACACATAATTCAGATTCTACTTATAGAAAAAAATGGGCTCTAATTTTTTAAATGGACAGTGTAATTAGGAAAAAGTGCATATAAACTAAAACTCAGTGCCCTGGATTTTCGAAACTACAGGTGCATTTGTAGATTCTCTATTGCGTTTCTGTAAGCATTCTGTGTGTATTTCTTATATCAGTTTTCATTCTTAATGATCTTAATCTGATGCTTCAGGATTCCTATATTTGTTTGCTATAGCCCTTTTCTTTGCATTTCCTCATGCCTTCTCAGTAGATTTGCAAACAGGTTTTCATTTTGCCCAAACAGCCTGAGACTAAGAGTGTGGATTTACTAGAAATTCTGGGGGATTCCCTTTATTAGCAGTGGTTGATGAAGAATGCATCTCACATTACTGCACAGTTCAGTCTTCATTTAAACTTAAGACTCAGTTCTGCCTGCTGTACTCACAAGTTAAAACTAAATAAAGTGGAGAAGGAAAACAAATGGTGGTCCACTTCATATCAGAGTGACAGTGTGGCTTCTAGAATATTCTGGTTTATCATTATGTGGTCAGCACACAGTTAGAGCACATCTGATCAGAGGACAGCAGTGGCACTTTACCTATTACACTTTTTTCACTCTCAAACTGTTGATTAGCAGTCACTTGCTTTGGAGGCCGTAGCAGTCTAAAAGACAAAAATTACACTTGTTTGAATGTGGGTTATTTCCATAAACTTTAATCTCTAAAATGAAAGCTACTTCATTAGAGAAAGGTTACCTGAACTGCGTTTGGCTTTGAAAACTTGCTGTTGATGGAACTTGGGCAACCTGTAGATTAGTAGTTGCAGCAGTGCCAATAACCATCTAAAACACCAAGAAAAATTCAAGAGAGGCAGCACGTGAAATTGTTACTGTGACAGTGTCCTTCCAATTTGTCCTTAGATTGCATAAATCCACTCAGTTAAGCTCTTTTTAGGAATTATGCAACTTTTTTTGCCTGTCTGCTTTACCTACAATTTAACGTTTTTTCTACATGATATTCAAAACCACATCTGTTATTTCTAATAAAGTTGCATTTACAGCACTGATGACTAAAGGTGAATAACTAACTTTTCAGTCATACGAATAGCATTACACAATTTACAAACTTTATTCGTGTTTATTACTGCTGTAGCCAGGCCTGTCTCCACCTTCTAAGGCCAAAGTCAGAACGCACAGAAGTGATTAAATCTGCCAGGTTGACTGAACAACTGTAGGTAACAGGCAAACACTCCCCTCACAGACATTGGCCAGATCAGAAGGTCTGACTCAAACACGTAGCATGTATTTGTTCCCTAAGGGCAGAGTGGCTCTAGGAGTCTATGCCTCAGCATGAGATAACATATTATTTCACAGAGAGCTGCTAGTTGTGGTTTGGTTTTAATTTGCAAAATGTATCATAGAATCACAGAATCAGGGTAGGGTATGAAAGGGCTGGATGTGCAGAATCTGTCCACCAGTCACCTTCTTTAGTTTACAGCTCCTTTCCGGAAGCATGAAGACCTCCTGTCCTCCAATCTTTTTCTTCTACTCCATCTTCTGCCCGTTGCTGTCACCCTTTCTTAAAGTTTGCTTAACCTTGACTTACTGCTTCCCACTGTTTTCTAAGTGCAATTCTAGGTCCCAGATAGCCATCCTCATCTGGATTACCCTGGCAACAACCCTTCCATCATCTTCATCACGTTCAGCTCCCTAAGCCTGTCACAAATCACAACTACCTGAAATTTACTTTGGTCTTGCTTCATTCAGTCTAGCTCTTGCATTTCATACTGCCTTGTCTTATTTAATGAAGGTGGTTTTGTTCCCACAAGCTCAATCCTAAAGCATTTGATGATGCACTCACAATAACCTTGATTTCCTTGGTAAGTTACAAGAAAATCACCGCTGTTAACTTTTTTACTTGGCAAATTTTCACTGACATTTGGTTTGAAATAGGTCCAGTGACACATACCTTGTGAGGAAAAGTTTCAGTATGGACACTTCCCCACACTGCTGCGCAGCAAAAATAGTTGCAAACTATTTATCTCTGCTGATGCCACCTTTTCCAGTACTCCATTTATACTTCAACAGTCTATCAGCCTTGTTAATTTTCTTTGACCTAATGTGCTTTTATTAGTGTGGGTTTTCTTTTGTTTTGTTTTGCGACTGTGCAAGTTATTCCTCCTGCTTGTTTTTGGGTTGTTTTACTGTGTTTGTGTCTTTAGGATATTGAGCTGCAATACACTTCCCCTTTTCCAAAAAAAAATGTCATAGGAGTTATGGGATAGAGAAGGAAACACAGTTCTGAACTTCTTAAGTGTACAAAGAAATGCTACTGAGGTTTTACTTCTCTAAACCTTTTTTTTTTTCTTTCTGGATAAACTGTAGACAGTCCCACAGAGCATCCTACATCCTTAGTCCTCAGTGAAATACCTTCCCACAGAGTAGATGACTGATGATGAATCAGTAATAGAAGATTATATTCCTTCCTGAATTCCAAAACTTTGCTGCACACAATCACATTCTATGTGTTTAAAACTCTTACAGAAGTTATTTATTTGGACATACAGTCCACACCAAGTTTGGAAAGAAATCACACAGAATCAGAGAATCGCAGAGGTTGGAAGGGACCTCAAGAGAACATTGAGTCCATCCCCTCTTGCTAAAGCAGGCTCCCTACAGGGAAGCAATATAGAATGTTTAATGTGACTAGCAGTAATAACATGAAGCACTTTATGATAACTTAAGCAATTTCAATTGAGTTAGAAATGGCATCAAAAAAAGAATTTTATGATTACCAAGTCTTCAGCATCTTGAACCCATCATTAACAAGTTTTATGAAAGACAAAATAGCAGTGGGTGTGTTTGAAGTATTTTGTACTTAAACCACATACAATAGATAAAACAGTCTCACATTTACCAGTGGCAGTACTCATACCTGGGATGGATTTTCTGCATGGCTGGAAGAACTGCTAGCAGCAACTGATTGTTCCATAGGATTTTCTTTTTCTTCTCTCCCTAAATTTACAAATATATAAACAGGATTCAGTATCCAAAGCATTGCACTGTTAAACTGAACTTGTCAACAAAGCATGCAAATTTTACTGCTCATGAAGAGCTAAAATGTGAAAGTTCCAAGCAAATTACTAGAAATAATAGTTACATTTACCATATATTTACAAACATTCCCAGAAGTATGCTTTAGTTTTTTTTCTGATGCAATGTGTTAGGTATATCTTCCACATCACTTTACTCAACGCACAGAGAGAGAAATCAGAGGTTGTCAGAACACAGACAGGTATGCACCTGACTTCTGCTGAAAGCCTAGCTACATCCATCACAGTGAAAACAGCTGAGGATATTCATTGCCATGGTTCCCATTTATTTACACAAAAATAACTCAAAATTCTCAAAAAAAAAAAAAAAAAAAAAAAAAAGATAATTAGAAGCACATTGCACCTGTTTCTGTTTGCTGCATAGAGAATCTAGCAGTCTGTGAAGACTGGACTGATTTCCGAGGAATGCATGGGAGCTGTAATGGTTTGTACAGCTGATGTTTCTCATGTGACAAAGAAGGATGTTCACTCTCTTCAAATATCCTAAAAAAAAAAAGATTGGAAATCATAAAATCCAACAGCTTCAAATAAGTGAAGTTCTCAAGGGAAATGCATGCTTCTAGGGGGATTCTAGCTCTTTTCAGCTCCAGCTATCAATAAGACTTTAGTTTCCCTTTAAAGAACACCACAGAATATCACTGAAAGCAAAGGGCATGCAACAGTACCAAAGTGATCATCATAACATTGCTGACTTGAATTTTGTCGGCATCAAAGAAAATGGCAGGAAACAGTGGAGCGTGACCACAAAATGGTGGAATTCAAGATCCTTGGTGCATTAAGGAGGGTGCACAGCAGGCTTGCTACTCTGGACTTTAAGAGAGCAGACCTTGAACTCTTCAAGGAACTGTTTGGCAAGTGACATGGGAGAAAGACCTGGAGGGAAGAGGAGCTCAAGAAAGCTGAACAGTATTCAAGGACTGTCTCCTCCAACCCAGAAGCTGTGCATCCTGAGAAAAAGGAAGGCAGCCAGGAAAGAATGCCAGGAGGCCTCCATGGATCAACAAGGAGCTCCTGGACTTAAGCACAAACATAGGGAGTGGAAACAGACACAGGATCACTTACCCTTTTTTTATTTTTAATAATGTTTTTTTTATTATTTTATTTCCTCCCTGACATTCTTGCTTGGCACTTCTGTGCTCCAGTTTTTTATATTTTTCACAAATAAGGTAAAATGTAAGATGAACTTTGTAAGGTATCAAAGAGTAAAATAAGTAACGCTACTGGCTAAAGCAGAAGCATTGGCCAAACCAGAAGCATTGATTAAGATACTGGATCTAACAAACTATGGAAACCATGGACCACCTACTATGACAAATAAAATCATATATCAAACAGAAATAATTTAAAAGCATCTTTATCTTTCATTTACAGCACTTGCATACTACAAAAAAAATAAGATGTTTATATGACTGAGTATCTTTAAGATCAGATGTGGAGAACTTCAGGATTAGTCAAAGCAGAGCTAAGCACAGAACCCAGGCTGAAATGGCTTTTCCTTGTTCAGAACTGCTCTATCACAGTCATTCAAAAATGAAATGAATTGAACAAGGCTGCTGCTGATGGTCATGATTTAGATTGCCAGTAACCAATCCTTTTACATTACTTACTTCGGATACCAAATTGTGTTTTTAAAAGTTCCTGGAGTCAGTTTCTGTGTGCTTTTGTAAAACCCAGCAGACAATTCCCTGTATTTCTAAAGAATTCCCATACAGGAAATAAACCATTCTTTTACAATACATATCTATTCAGAAGGATGGATTGATGGTAGAGTTGCAAACAGGAGTCAGAAACTCTTGAGATATTGATTTTTTTAAGTAACAAAAACTTCCAAAGGGACCTGCAGTTAAACTTCAGAAACACACAATACATCTGCTCCCTTCCCTCACCCCAAAAATTATTTTAAAAATAAATAAATAAATAAAAAATATCTGACATTAATAACTACTGGGAAAAAAATCAAACTGCAGACTGAAAGTCAAAATATTCTGAACTGCAATAACAAGAAACATCATTTGTCTTACTTTTTTTGCTTCACTGTAAGTAGACATCTAAGTGGACAAAAGATCTTTATCTCAATCCATGTAGCAAAACATGTAATATTTTCAGTTTTATTAAAGTGCAAAAAAAGATATTCTTAGGTCAAAATAAAATTTCATTTCCTTAGCAGTTGCTGTGGTCAGTACAGGGTTAACTGTTTCCCAACACAGTGGTCAGACACTGGAACGAGCTGCTCAGGGAGGTGGTGGAGTCACCAAACCTGGAGGTGTTCAAGGAACGTTTAGACATTGTGTTGAGAGACTTGGTTTAGTGAGAGCTATTGCTGGTAAGGGGATGGTTGGACTGGATGATCTTGTGTGTCTTTTCCAGTCTTTTTGATTCTATGATTCTGTGATTCTTCACTGATGTTTACATTTAGAAGTCCAGAAACAGATTTACAATATTTTACAAGAATTATATTGCAAAGTCTTTTATTTGATCGCTGAAGTAATGCAAAGGCACAGAAGGGACTGAAATCATACTCTACAGAACTTCTTCCCCTAGAAGAAGTTTTAGCAAAAACTCCAAAAAGCATAGGGAATGAAGCTGATACATACCAAAGCAGTGTTCAAGATTTCTGCGTAATAAATAACATATTTAATCAAGAAACACAATCCAAGTCTTCAAAAAAGTTCAAGACACAAGAGCAGTCTGAATCACTTTAAAATTTAACCAGTTATACAGTATTACTTGGTGTTCCTTTTTGGTCACTGATGAGGACTTTTGGTATGGAAATTTGAACTATAATACTTGTTGAATATAACTGGTGCACTACAGAAGTCCACTACTCAAAGAAAATAGGTTGCATCAGAAGACTAATGTGTTTTGCAGCTGTTCCAATCTTTCTGACAAAATGATTACCACTGCCATCCTCCTGCCCAAAGAACATATACACCAGCAGCTATCAGTTAACTTTCATGTTCCTTTCTTATCTTGTAGCCCTCTACAGTATTCCATGGGTATTAATTTGTACGTTATTCTGCTCAGTGCTTTTGTTGTTCTGTTTGACGTTTGCTGGTTCCGTGCTGTTCTGCATCAGTTTATGGACTTTCACAATGCAACTCTTTTTTTGTTCTTCTTCTGTGGCAGAAGATGGAAGTTACCTCCTGCTTCACAAAGATCTCTCTGCTCAGGAATTACCCTGCAGTGACTGCAAAACAGCTCCTGCCTTTGGTACCCTTACTCTCTTGTTATATTTTTCTATATTGATTTGAGTCTACAAAGGTTTTAATTCACGTGAATCATTGTCTTAGTACATTTTCTGTTTCTTTCCACAGTGATTACAATCACAGATTAATAATATTCCAATTTTTACCATCAGTAGTTACTCAGATATTTCTGTGCTTCCTTTCTCTTTTAATACACTAAAGAGGAATGTTTTAAAACAACTTTTACACCATTTTCCATAAGCTCATATGTTTTACAAAACTTTGGCAAGAATATGCTTTAAAATTTACTCTAGAAAAGCAATGTTAATTAGTAATCAGGTTGTGGTCTGGTAGTACATGCTATATCACATGAACACATGCATGGAGGTTAAAGAGCAATGTGAGTTACAATGGTGTGAAATGTTTACAGCATCTTATAACCATGATGTAAGCCATGGAACTTCAGCAGAGCATCAAAAGATCTACTTGTGCACAATCACGGCACAATTTTTGATGAAGGTTCAAGCACCTGAAAACTTCATGAAAGAGGTAACTTTATGAAAGTGGCAAGTCCAGCAAACACCCTGCAGATTCCTTTCTAAAAGTGGTTTCACTGAGTACTTCTTGCACCTCTGTGCCTAAAACAGAGATCTCCTCCCTCTGTAGTATGCTTTTAATTGGCATTTTCTGCATACTGAACATACTTGGAGCCCTTTGAGAATTCTAAGGGAGTATTTCCAATCTTCTTCACCCAGTCTTAGAACTGCATGGATTTCTTGTTTCCCTGTGTTTCTGAGATCTTGCCAATCATAACAAATTTAGATAAGAAGGCAGAACTGGTGTAAGATCTTAAACAATGAAAAATTAATCATTTGAAGGTTCTACAGGGTTCTATAAGAAGATATTAAAAACGTAAAGTATTCCTTTACAGTTAAAGGACAGTTAAAAGGACAGCTTTCTGCACATATAGTCCACTAAATCCCAGTTCAAAGCTCTGAAGAGCACCCTTATCAAGCACACCATGACATAAAATCATTTGGACTAAGTCTTTTGGATTTTTGTCCAACAGAATCAGTTTTAAGTTTCATATCTTAATACTCACAAGAAATCCAGATGAGTGCAAGATGGTCCTGATGGTGACTTCAGTCAGTGTAATTGAGCTCAAATTAAAGCGAGTCCCAGTTGTAAATGACCACTGACTAATTTACTAAGCCATTAATCCTGTCAATGAAACTTTCACTCACACTTGCTTTTAAGAACCAAATTAAGTGTTAAATTTCTAAGAGTAGTTTGGAGCTGAAGGCAATGACATTTGTAACCCTGAACTTTTCACCAAATACTTGTTCAGTATAGTTAATGTATTCCATTTTTGACTGCACAGTCATTGTAACTGTAACTACAAGCCATAAAACTATCCACACAGATCCATTAGCAGAAGCTGTGAGGAGCAAAGTTTTACACAACATACTTCTGAATAGTTATTTCCAGGTAACACTTATTTTCTGGCAATAGAAATTTGCCACCACTGAACAGCAAGAAATAAGATTCTTTTAAAGTTATGCAAATGACTCATATGTCTTGGGTTGAAAACCTTGCTAGTCGCTCTACAGCAACAACTTGTGTTTTGTTGCCACCTTTGTGTGAATATTGAGATGTTTTTCTGGATGAAAGCAAGGAGAAGGAAAGAATTCTGAAACACACCTTTCTTTAAATTCCTTTGGTTTCTCTAGACTTTTCAGATTTTTTCCTTCAATCATTTCTGAATTATTTTGATCTTCTGTGGTCTCTTCAAATGTCTTAAAAGAAAAAGAATAAATAAACATCACAATTTAATAAAAAAATGTGAAAATGATACAGCTACTTGCTGCAAAGGGCTTCTAAACTGATGAATCAGTGCAAGCACAATTTTTTTGTAGTCAAAATGATAATAATGAATAATCATTAATTCTAGTATCATCCTGTTGGCTCATATGCTTGAAAATATACTACTATTTTGTTTCAGCAAGTCAATTGTATAAGTACCTACATATATATAATACACACTTACTTTTTTAAGATAATTAATTTTCATTTCTATTTCGTCTGCTTCTTTTTCTAGTTCAGTTGATTCTTGTGTAGCAGTTTCAGCAAGCTTTAACATTTCCTGTGTTTTTTGTCTCAAAGAAGCACTTCCAAATTAAGGAATATACGTAGCAACATGATTTTATTAAAGAAGGGGATATAATCAGGTCCCTCACAGTTCTATGTTGTAAGTGCAAGTTCTAGAGTGACAGAAAGTCCTGACTATTCCACATGGCTTAGGAAAGTCTCCAAATCCAACTTCAGTCTTCTCTTTAATGAAGCTTTTTGACTGATAGGTCATTAGATGAAATACAATTATCTTCCTCAAAATGTTCCAGTAAATTTTAACTGAAAAACTATTATTTGACCTACAATTATCCCAAGGGGAAATGGCTGTGCTGCCACTCTAAACATAATTACTATATTTTTAAATCAAAAGCTGTGAAAGTTAAATATAAACTTTCCTTCCTGTAAACTGTATTCACATTACACTTCAAGGATACATATACAAAGCCCAGTCATTAATGGATTTAAAAGGAGCAGGCTCTGTAAAAATAAAATTTTGTTTCAGAACATTAACAAGTCTCATTTTCTCTACAAATACAGTTTAAATTAATGGTTCAGGAACACTTACCATTGTGTAATAGCTCATAAAAGTAATAGCAATAATACAGAAAGTAATGACATTTAAAATAGCACAATAAGTAAATAAGCAAGTAAATAAATGTTTGAGAAGCTAATTCTAAACTAATACTGGTTGATTTTTTTACCCTAAGAAGCCCACTGGCCAACCTCTCCCCATTACACTTACAGGTTGGAGGAAAGAACATTAGCATGCATACTCCAACTAAATTCGTCTTCCAAATCTCAGTTTGCTACAGTTTTTTTTCCTAAACATGGTACAACAAAAATGAAGTTTTTTTTTATCAGCTTAAGAGAAGCTCTGATAAATCAATAAATGGATTTCTGTACAGGGCTGTAACATGCAGTCCACCAGCAACAGGCTCTACTGCATAAGCATTGATAATAACAGTACCAAGCATGTCCAAGTCAGCATCTTCTTTCAATTTATATTGTTCAGACCGTTTCTGAATTCTGTTCTGGATTTCCTCAAGCTCTTTCTTTTTTTTGTAATATTCCTGTGCAAGGGCAGTTTCTGCATATTTTTCACGGTGTTGCTTCAGAGTCTCCTTATACTGGATTATGTAATCTTGATACATTTTCCTATAAAATATATAATTTAGATAACTTTTAGAAAGGAAAGCTATTACTTAATGGAATCATCTCAGTTAGACTTGCTGTTCTGGAAAAGGTCAGAGTACTTTTTCAGTATGTCTCTATTCGATTTCATTTTGTTTTCTTCCATCTGTTTTCATGGAAAACTGTGCTGTACATAGCAAAAATACATTCATGATATAACAGCCATAATTCTGAAAGGAATCTAGACCATACCATGAAGGTAGCTTCACAGATGACAAATGGTTCTTCCTCCTTTAATTAAACTTCCTTGTTTAATGAAACTCACAGCAAGCCAAATTCTCTGCATCTGCTTATTGGCACAACTCCACCTGTATCAGTGGAGCTGTATCAAACTTACAGTAAAGGATCATTTGACCTAACAACCAGTATTTATATACATACAGTATTTATATATATATATCTAGTGTCAAATGTGGAGGTTGGTAGCCTGCCTGTGGCAGGGAGTTGGAGCTTGATGATCCTTGAGGTCCCTTCCAACCCAAGCCATTCTATGATTCTGTGATTTGGATCAGCCTGATGCAGTGCTGCAGAAATGCTGAGCTATTTGATTGAGGGAAACCTCACACAAACACAACAGTCACACTAAAATAACAAGACTACCAAACCTAAGGTTAAGCAAACACCTCAATGCTTAACTGGAAAAGAGCCAAAATATTCAGCTTCTCGTAAGACTGCCCTCTACATTAATCTCACACTGATATAATTTCACTGACATTGAGTGAGAACATAGCTACAAATTATTAAAGCAGGTAGCATCAATTAAGAGGTCCCATTAAATAAATCTTCATGACGTTGTTAAAGTTTAAATGAGCTTTTGAAATACTGTTATAAAAACAACCACCATAAGAATCAATTAGATGTAATTCATCACATAAAACTGAAAATTGATCATTATTCTCCTTGAAAAAAAGAGAAAAAGAAGTACTATTGGACAGAACAGAAATTGGCTTGTGCTAAGTCAATGACAGTGACTATTCTGGATAAGATTCTTTGGTCTGTTTTCTCAATTAGACAAGGAATTTGCAGGATAGCTTGCAAACAGCAGATCAAATATTCAACTGTGTGACTGGGAAGCGTTTCTTATTACTCCAGTAGTGCTGCTAGGTCTAGCGTGCATTACAGGTCATTTCCAATGCAAACTCAGTATCTGTAGGGAAAGCACAGTGATGAACACTGAGTAATTAACAAAGGAACTGGTTCTAACTGTTCATGTCACACACAGGTAACCTGCAGGAAAGCAAGAGTTAATTATTAACTGTTTTTAAAATTATCAATAACAACAACCAAGGCCTGGTATATTTATCTCCACATTTGAAAGCAAAAGCTTAATAACAGAAGCACGTGTGAAAATATTACATTATCAGTACACTGCAGATTAATTAGAAATTCCTCTATGAAACAAATCATTATGCAAAACAGCAACTGAAGGCACAGACACACCTGTTTGCCTGCAATAAGGACCAGCTCTCACTGTAAATCACAGTATTCCTCTTTAAAGAATATGTCAAACTGCTATTACTGACTGACGGAAAAACAGACACTTTGGCTGCTGGCTGGTCAGACTGGGCAGCACAAGAGACATTTCTGTCCATACACAATTGTTGAAACTTCTTCTCTTACAAAAGAAATGTCAATTTTTTAATGTCATAGCAGAAAATGAGATCTCATTTTTCAAATAAAACGATGCTGCAGGCATCCCATTAAACTGACTGAGGTGCAGCACACGTATTCAAGGGAAAGAAGTTGTAGATTAACACTGCTATGATTCAAGGTTGTGAAATCAAGAAATTTCCAAACTTTCTGTAGAAAAGGACATCAGTCTATTTGTTTTTCTCATGGCTTTTTTCATGGACAGTCTTGGGAATCCGTGAAGTTATTGGATTTCCTAAACGTTTCTGTATACTGTCAGGGTATGAAAGATAAAATAATACATACTTCCATTTAATTTAATAGATTCTACAAACAATAGCTAAGCAACAGTGATATTTGCAAATAAATTTTAAAATATAAATCAAAGTCAAATAATTGCAAGTGATACATTTCAGGCTTCTGAGTATCATCCTCAAACTTTAAACACACTTTTTCCCCAAAATTTGTTTTCCACAGATAAATATTCATGGCCGTATGGAATATAGCATAAAAGTCTTGAGGAATTGACTCTATTTCCAGTATTTTTCCTAAGTAATTTGCATCCTTCCATTCACACAGTTGAACATCAGCTGTTTAGAATTCAGTACTGTTCACATTAAAGTCATCTTTTAAAAAGATCTTTGCTTGTAAAGCAGCATGTCCTGAATGTCCACAAACGCCAGCTTAAGAAGGGCATTCAGCACATAACGTTTTAAATGCACTTATTTTTCTTCCTAATTTATCTATTCAGAATTTGTTGAATGCACGCCTTGCTGATTTGAGTATAGCAGCAAATGCTTCAGTATAGAGGGACTGTATTTGAAAGAACTCTCTGGAGACAACTTTCGTGAAATACATGAATTAAATTTATTCCATGGTTTATAGTCATGATGTTTTACAATTAAAAGTTCAGGAGGAAAAAAAAAGCAAACACTTTCATGTTGGAATTGAAACTAGTTATCTAAAGAAGCAATTTAAAAGTAATGCTTCTTTGGCTTGTCAGCTCAAATTAGTGAAGGCCAAAATGGCTCATATACTCATAGAAAGCCAATTTAGCTTCATTTTTCACCAAATACGGAGCTCTAAAGAGGAAGGCAGATAAGCTACTAACAGAGTTAATTAAAGGCTGCCAGGCATTCTACTTCTGCTGTCTTGAACTACTTGCAAGAAGAACACTAGCATAAAACACAGCCAACATTTGAAATTGCAGTTGCCTACAGTAACACCCCTGTACTGCTATCCAGATGTCTAGATGGATCTGCCATGACTTTTTTAACACACAACTAACCAACCTCTTCCTCTTCCCAAGCAGATCAGTAAAGGTGAGCAACCTCTCTAAAATAAAGACTTTTTTTTTCCTGAATGTTAATCAATATTTCACAGCTTTAACTTTGTCACAACCCACTTCCAAAATTTAAGTGAAAATTTTCAGGGTCTGTTCTTCATCCCACTCAGTGCTGGTAGACAGATTCTACTCGCCCTATTTTTCATGATCTAACACTGAACTTGAATGCTTTGTAGTTATTTTGAAGAATTATTCATAAATAAAGAAAAACAAATTATTTGAATGCATCAGTTATCTTGTTTAGTGCAGATGTGAAAGTAAAGGCTCAAGTTCATTTATGTGATGCTTCTAGAAAACATCGAACCTCATTACTTTCCAAAAAGTCTTCCAAACCTGAATGTCTGAAACTACTGAAATTACAGCATGTATGAAGATATGTCATGATAATGGTTAAAAAAAACCATCTGTAATTAAAATATGTTTCTGCAAGTATGCTCTGATATTTTGTATTTCTGTCAAAGCTGAAACACTGATTACCTTATGATTATCCAAATTTAGAGGGCTTCTCTTGAAATTGTGGGCAATTAAACAGTGTTCTGAAAATCGTTATAGAAATTTGGGAAGTTATCTGAAAAAGCTGTATTTTATCCTATTTCATTAGCATCTACAAAGTCACAGATGAACTCCTAATAATGGAAAGTGAATATTCTTTTATTACAGTGAAATGTTTACCAAAACTTTTTGATGCAGACTGCATAACTTTGCAGATCAATTTAGACAGCACTGCCATCAACAAGCACTGCTTCTAGAAAACTTATCTCATATGATCACTGATACCTCTCATTTTCTGTAGCTTCTTGTAAAACTTCAAGTTCATTCTTCACATATTCTTCATGCTTGCTAAGAATTGCATATGTGGGCTTCCAGCTGCAAAGTACAAAAAAGAAGTGTGTAAATGGTCCTTCCTAATAAAAAAGCAATTAAAAAAGAAGACATAAACAACTTACTTTAGCTAGCTAGCTAGAGCAAGTCACTTAATGTGCTGAAAGTCAAGCACGTATTTTTCTAGTGTAAAAAGCTCCAGCTAAGTAGTTGAAAATAAGTTAATTGCAGATGAGAACTGAACTTCAGTTGCTGGCAAGATATGTTCTTTTTTGCCTCTATGGCATCATCCAGAATACTGCTACTCTAGGGCAATGTAAACATCTAATAAATGAAGTTTGGCTGGAACTATCAGACCTAGGAGACATGCAAACAAATCCCAACTTTAGGAGCACTTGCATAGATCCCATCAAGCACCAAAAAGGCAGAAGAAGAAGAAAATCTGAAAGCACCTGAAGCCCTACATAGATTTGGAACAGGTTAACAACAACAACAACAAGTTACCTTTAAAGAGATGGAAATTATCAATGAAGAAATGCAGAATAAGTCACAGCTGAGCAAAGGAACTATTTTCTACTGCAATGGTAAGAGTAACCAAGGACATGTGGTCCATTTTACGCTGCATATTCATGAGTAGGGCACGTAAAGGGCATTGGGTGAGTATGCCCTATGGTCCAAAACTGGAGAGCTTGCAGCGTGCAATCACAGAAAGTATGGATGTGTTTCTGGACAAGCACTCCAAAGGTGGTGTAAACAGCTGTTTCCATTATGGAAATAAAGATAGACATTAATTTGCTAAAGTCCAATAACCTTGAGCAAAAAAACAATGTACTCCAGGTGATAGAACATATGCGTAAGCAGCATCTATAACAGCATTAAAGTTTCTCATTGGAAAAAGTTCAACGAGGAAGTGCAGCATTGGTTCAGGATATTTAGCATTATTTGGCACAAACTGGCTAGCACCACTAATCACTAAAAATGTAATTAAGAAATGCTTCTTCACCACACCTTCTGAAGATTCAACAGAAAGCCACAGTTTTAAGGGCTTAGATTTTTAAAAGTCAGAAACTAATAGTACATGTGTAGGTGCACACAGGCACACAAACACTGTGATCTTCTTCCAGAAAACTCCATGTCTTTCTTTGGAGTTAAAAAAAAAAAGAGCAACAAAAAAGTCACAGAAATCATATTAACCAGAGATCAATCATAGAATCATGGAATCATAGAGTCATAGAACGATAGAATGGCCTGGGTTGAACAGGACCACAATGATTGTCTAGTTTGAACCCCTCTGCTATGTGCAGGGTCTTAAACCACCAGACCAAGCTGCCTAGAGCCACATTCAGCCTGGGATCAGAAGGCTCTACCCACTTTTACAAGCCAAATGCATGTTACATTTTGTATTCACACTTGTTCTGCAGGCATGTGGAGAACACAGAGTTTAAGAATAAGCTTTGCAACAGAACGAGGCATGAAGGATCCAAGTAGTTGATCCATAGTTTGCTAAGTGCACCATTTCATGGAAGCTCTTGATAACTATTGCATTTGTTTGCTCCTCCTTTCATCAGCAAAGGTATAGAGAAATCTCTATCCACACTTATCTGGAGGCACTAAAAATTTCCTCTGGTTTAACCAGCTGGACAAGACAACAGTTCATTTCCTAAATTAGAAACATTCTGTGTTCATCTGGCTTTCTTTTATATTTCCATCCACTCCACCATCATGAACACAAATTAAAACACTGTGAGAGGAACGATAACATTTGAAATGGTCTCATCAACAGTATTTCACCACTTCTTGCTCTTGGATCAACACGTCATGCCTGAATCATTCAAGCAGTTAAATATTAGAAAAATGTCATTATGTTCCTAAGAATATGTATTTCTTCTTTGTCATAGTATTCTTCAGTTCTTTGTTAAATAGGCTTCTATGGATTTTTTAGAAAGCACAGTAGTATCCTGATCCACATCTCATGTATTGTATTTTCAGTAGACTTGTTGCATGTAAGAATGCAGTATTTTGTTCAAAGTCTTTGTGCCTCAATATGATGTCTAGTAATCCAGACAACAAGCAGTTTCTTTGAGAGCTCTATTGACTGTTCCTGGCAACTAAATGTAATGATACTCATCTCTGAATCAATCAGCTGTGAGGACGATTGCCAGTCAAATACAGAATCTGAATTTACAAGACCAATGTTAGAAACTTGTCCAGAGTATCAGGAGTATCAACTAGGATAAATATTAGAAATTTAAGATGATTCTAGTACTTTCTTTGTCTGATCTCACAGCTAGGACTTGTTTAGTACAGTTTTCAGTACGTTGATGGGTGATATTTTCAATGATTTAAGACAAAATCTCGTCCTTCTGCAAGCATAGTCTCTATGAATATCCATATCCCTTATTGAGTCATTTCTTATTTTCAGTCTCTTTACATTAATGCCACTGACTGATCTTTTTAGGACCTCAGCCAATGCCCTTTGAATTTAATGGTTCAAAATTTGGTCAGATTTTTAGTTCACCCTTAATTTCTTATTTCCTTGTTTGCATAACCTAATTGCTGATTTACAACTTAAAAAAAAAAAAAAGAAATCAGCATGGAATGGTTTCCAGTAATTTACAAAAGTGTTCATTTTATATTGCATTGGAGGCAAAAAAAAAAAAAAAAAGTATAAATAAACTGAAATTTTATTCTCAAATTCAAATCTTTTCCTAACTTATTTTAACAAAGCTACAAATCATTACAGAATAACAATCAATTCAATCAGCTGCCAACTAAACCTCCATTCACTTATGATTCCTTTCCTTCTTCTCTTTGCAGCTACTTTGAAACCTAGGAAGGACTCTGGTGCAACTTTCATTTCGTTTTTCATTCTTAGAAACCTTCCATAATTTTTTTCAAATACATGCAACGGACATCTATATTGAAGCACTTATCTTCAGGTATAGATTTGCAAGAAAACAAAAAGGATAGGATCTGCTAAGTTGTTTACCGAGAGAGTGGTGAGGTGCTGGAACGGCTGCCCAGAGGGGCTGTGATGCCCCGTCCATCCCTGGAGGTGTTCAAGGCCAGGTTGGAAGGGGCCCTGGGCAGCCTGGGCTGCTATGAAATGGGGAGGTTGGTGGCCCTGCATGTGGCAGGGGGTTGGAGCTTCATGATCCTTGAGGTCCAATCCAGTCCAAGCCATTCTGTGATTCTGTGGCTATATTCTTATATTCTTATATTCTGACTCTTAATGCCAGCTCTGACTAAAAGTTCAGCTCACATTATACTTACACGTTACAGCTGTCCTTACAATTCTCATTTTGCTTGCGTAAATCAGCAATTGCATCATTGCAGTTATTTATATTTTCCTGCAATCTAGCAATTTCATTCCTTTTTTCTGTGATTTTTGAAGAATACACTGAAAATGTAAAAATATGTTTAAGTGCTTGCAACATAGCCATGAAATAAAAAGTCTACATTCAGAGAATCAAAATTTCTTCCTAAGTGCTTGGTCTCAGTAGTAGCAGATGAGCAAACAGACTGCAGTTAAGCAAAGCAACAACAAAGTGAATGAAAAAAAAAAAAGAGCTGTGTGGTGAGAACACTGATTTTTATTTAATATTATGAAATTGGCTTTGGAAAAAAACATCAGTGCTGTTTCTCCATCCCAGTCCGTGTGAAACTGAAGCTATTAATAGTGGTAGAAATTAAAATGCTTATAAATAGTTAATGCCAACTCTTCTCCAAAGTTCACAGAAGGACAAGTGTCTGCAGACACTAGAGGTAGTATGCAGGAGAACAGTGGGAGCCACTTTTCTTGTGGTAATGCTTGCAACTGGGAGACCGATCGGAGCACAAGAGTTGCTTGAGATAAAAGTCTCTTTAAATACCTTTCATTTTATAGAAGTCCAGAAATAAGAATGTTTTAAATGGAAAAGCTGACTTCAAGAAACGAAAACTAAAAACATCTCTAGCAGCATTTACACAAATGATTGCTGGAATTGGGAGCAAATAAATACAAATAAAAAATGTAATGTATGATGGATTAATATATTGAGTAGGAAATAGATGCCAATTAATGAGGAGCATCTATTGTAATGACAAATCCCCAAAAACATGGATGTTACCAGCATTGTTTCACAAGTACAAGCTGTGAGAGCCACCACGCATATTCACATTGCAATGCGATGGGCAGAACGAAGTGCATGTTTGTTTTTTGTTTGTTTCCCTGTGTTTTCTATCTCTTATTCTTTCCTACAGAGGTTCAGAACTACTTGTGCCAAATCTCCCTTGCCATCACTGCTGCCCTGACAACAAAGATGGTGCCACTAAACTGAAGTCACTCAATCACAGACATCCTGCCCCCTCACATCTGTTTAAGGAGGGCAACTTAGTTGAGATTTAACTCGAGTTGTATGAATTACTGCTCTATAGCTTTAGATCATCCTAAACTTTGGGTCTGTTTTTGCAGCATTTGCTACATATTCACTTGCAGTTCCACCTGGGCTGATACAGGAGAAGTGTACCTGTCAGAGATAAATATCAGCCAGCAAAAAACAACAGAATCCCAATGTATTTTAATATCTTGAGTAATCCAGAGTATATACAGTGTCTTAATACCTTGAATACCTGAAGTCTAAGTGTTTCTTTTGAGTTCATGCACATTTTCAACTGAACTCCCAAACAACTGTAGTATGTTACTACAGTTACTAAGCCTTTGGATTTCACCTAAAACATGCTCACTTGCAGTAAGCTCAAACAAATTTGAAGCCACAAATAGCTCTAAATTTACAGACGGAGACCAAAGAATTATTACAGAACTCTATGGGTACCAGATTTTGTGTAATAGATGCTTTAATGTTCAAAATACTTCAATCTAATATTGATAACCCTCTCAATATGTAAGTACTTTCTTGGATGTATCACTTAAGATCATTAGAAATACTGCCACCAATACAATGCAGAACACTCTTATTTCTGAAGGGCTTGAACTTCAGCTTCTACCCGTGAGGTAGCAGAGATGAGCACGGATTTCTTTAGGTTGTCTCTATATCCATTCCTGTAACTGAGTGATACAACGGGCGGGATAGTTAAAAAATAAATAAATCAGCCAAGATCTAAGTCCATAATATTATACTGTTAGTCCTAGGAAGAAAGAATTTCATTGGAGCAAGGCTTTCCCATTGGTGTTACTGTTTGGGATTTCAAATAAAATGACCAGCTGCTCGACCACAGAAAAGAAGAACCAGGCTTGAGTAAGTTGCAGCAACTGAGAGAACTTTCATTATTGTAGGAAGACAGAAAGAGAGAAGAAGCAGTGAGGCACAGGTCCAAATTTGGGAAGAACAAAAAACATGAAGAGAGAAGGCAGACAAGTGGCAGATGTATTGAGCAAGCACAGCTGAACCAAAGAACTGCCAGCAACTGTGAGGAGCTACTGAGTAAGAGCAGGAAATGGCGCAGCACGAAACTGGCTGTCCATGAGACAGCTGAGCAGCATTAGCTAAGAGTCGAAGGCAAAAGCAAAGTCTGCTAGGGAGAACGAGCAAGTATTGATGGCAAAAGATGAGACAGGGTGAGAGCAGGACACTGGGCAGCTTTCATTATTAAGCTTGCTTCCGCCTCTGAAACTCAGACATGTATCAGGACTGATGAAACAGAGTATTCAACAGCTAATAAAATGATATCTTATCACTACTCACAATTTATCTGTTGATTTACATGTTCCTTTGCATAAGAAGTTTGTTTTAGCTGGAAAACTGAAAAGAAAAATAAACACGTTTATCTACAATGAACTGTTAAACAAACATTTTGCAACATTAATTTTACAAACATCAATTAGCAAAGATTTTAATGAGACATCTAAAAGTCCCCCTTCAGACAAGCAATTTTGCTATTAAGTAATTTGTAGAACCCTGCTCCATAACGTCATCATTATGTAGGTGATCTTCAAAACCCTAATATTTAAATGTTTATTTAAAGTTAATGTAACTGCATAAAGTTAAAAATATCACTTTATGCAGTGCACTGGTAATCTTCACTTTAAAAATATACAATATAATGACTTACCGAACTCAAGCAGGAGTTTATCCAAGTTGCTTACGAGTCTGTCACTCATCGTGTAGACCTTGGGAGAAAAGTGCAGTTTACAGATTTACAAAGCTTTATTAATACAATAAACAAGTCAAGGTTCCATTTTAATGGAACCAAATTTTTCACCAATTGTAGTAATGGATTTACTGGAGGTCTAAGCCACAGTTGGGGAAAAAGGAAGTGTACAGCTTAGGTAAATGTTCCTGGAGAAGTTCTGTGTTGAAGAGGTTTAGCATTCTTGGAAGGTGGGAAGAATGCAGTAAGAAACGCTCATGTACAAAAAGTGGAGCCTCTAGTCCAGCTGGTTTACTAAGCCTATCAACTGCAGTGATGGTAATGGAAAAGCTTCTTATCCATTCTGTACAGTCCTCCAGAAATAATTGCAAAGTACATTTGAATCAGAAAGTATGTGCATAAGTGGGATTAAAGACAGAACTAAAATGCAACAGAAAGCAGATTATTGCAAATTGATTCTTCTGTTTGTAGAGTGCTGCTACGTGCAGAAATTCAGTTCTGTTTTTTTAAACAGCTTGTACTCATGTCGCCCTCCTGAAAGGATGCAATCAGTACCTAATCAGAACATCCTGAACACGGGCAGTTAGCTCAGACACACTGAAACATGACTGTCCCACAGCAGCCTTCCCATGGGTGAACAAACACTTCCTTTGGCTGTGTGTAAAAAGTAAAGCCACAACCAATTGGCAATGGGGATGAGATCCTAATCCAAGATAAAGTGGAATAGAAAACAACTTCAGAATTGACTAAAGTGGCATTAAGATTGCATAGTGTAGCACTGAGACTGTGAAAACAGCAGGGAGGGAAGAGAAGAGAGCATTTAAAATGCTGGATGTTTGACAGAAATGAATTTGCCTAATACTTATGTGAGGATCAGGGCTACTAATCCAAGACACCGGATTAGAATAGGCAGTGATAAAAGCTCCAAGAAAGAGAGAACAGTTTTACCAAACATACATACAAGATTGGCACCCTAGTTACTGGTGCCTGGAAACAGCTAGCAACATTTTTAGCAAAATATTGAGAGAAAATGTCAGAAGTAATTCAAGCCAAAGCAAAACATTTCTGCTTTTGCAGGAACAAATAAAAGAAAATAATAAGTAACATATTAAGAACTAAAAATTACTTGGGAGCATATATTGAAGATCTGTCCAGTGTGCAGGATGCAAGATGAAACCCTCTCACTGCTGAATGATGTCTATCTGACCCTAAAATGTAGTTAAGCAGACACTGGTAGCTAACTATCCAAGGGAGGCACATGAATTCCTGGAAATCTGTATTGTCACTAAATGGGAGTCAAACAGCAAAGCATCAGGTGGAAAACCCTCGTGTTTGTTTACTCTTTCTCTAGAAACAGTTAAACAGTGCTTGTTAGCTCCTTCCCTGACAGTTCTTATAAAGCCTGCAAGAAAATGGGGCATACAAATAAGGTACAGAAATGGTGAAAAAAGAGTACAAACACTACTTTGAACATATAACAGCAAAGAATTTCTTCTCATTGTTGTATAAATCACAACAGCTTATTATTAAGATGACATATGTCATTTACTCCTTTAAAATAGTTATGATTAATTTTGTTCTGTGAATACTAATTAAAAAAAAAAGGAAAAACTGAACTAAAGATAGAGTTGCTTTCTTGTGTATTTTTTTACAGTTTGTTTAAAGAGTGAAATTGCAGAAAATGATAATGCTTCTGTAAGCATGTATACATAGAAGTATTTACTGTTCTAGATATTTTTTAAATTAAGTAACAAAACTGCAAATGACAAATTTCTGTTTGTAAATTCAAAGGCAGTGTGTTGCTGGTAGAAAGGGCTGAAATTTCACTGCATTGTTGATCTGTTAGGTGACTGCAGATTTTAAAACAGCCTGAAACAAAAGATGTTCAGGGTATGGCTGTACTAAAGACTGATTCTTGGCTTTACTGGAGAAAAGTAGCATTAAACCATTTGCCAACCTGGGGTGACAAATTCAAATGTTCTCACGTGGGGCTGTTATTTTTCTGATCCGAAAGAAGCACTACAGAGCAGAATCCTCAAACTTCTGCTACAGAAAAAAAAAAAAAAAGGCATTTTAGGGTCCTTTTCAAAAAGAAACTATAGATCACAGCCTTTAACAGGTAATGTAATAAAATTGACAGCTTATGACATTTTTCTGTATTTTAATGCTAATGTCTGAAAAATATACACTACACAGCAGTGAGTAAAAGAGCTTCAAACAGGAACAGATGATTTCTAATGGCTCTCTCAGCTTGAAGCTATCTGTGCTTTTTGGAACTCTACAAAAAATACATACATTAAGCATCTAGCCCTTTCATAACACCTAAATAAACTCAATTGTATAGGACTCAATTTAATGAATCATGGGACAGCACGGAGTCCAGAAACCAGAAAAACTTTCTGATTGTATGCTGTGTGTCTGCCTGCTATCTCAGCACTGACATTAATGCAATTCCTCATTACAGATTTACAGCTGTGGCTTCATATCCAGTCTGGCAAGGTGCTGCATTAACAGGTGATAAATACCCATACTCTAAGAAAAATTCCTTGCTTAAAATCACTTGCTCAGAGCTCAAACTACGCGGGCATCCTCTACAAATAGCTACCTAAAACAACTACTGGTTGTGTATTATTTTTATTTATATGACCCTTACTCTTCAAAATTCTGTCGTAACACTCAATTCTACACCTGCTACACAAAGCTATCAATTTCTGTTGGCTTTGTATAAACCATTTTAATTCCAGCAAAGCTCTTCTGATGATGAACTGTATCTCTCCTGTGATATTCGCTATCCTAAAGGACTCTCACCCAACTGGTTATTTAGTTCCTGGAATTTAGCTGAGTTCACATTTCTCTGCTAAAAGCAAGGCACACATCGCTGTTGTTCTCTCTTTGTGCTGTTACCCCTCTGCCCCTCTTCTGCTCCATCGTTTAAGCAATAAGACGTGAACTCTCCCAAGGTGAGAACCGCTGCTGTTGTCACTTCTTGCCACAGCATCGAAGCCCTCTCCTGACTGGTAACAAACCCACAAGTCTAGTGACTGTAACTGAGCGTGGTAGGGCTCTTCACTTCTGAATTCCCTGTTTCTAACTGGGTTTAAAGCACATCACCACTGTGTGCAGAGGCCTTCGTTAGCCAACGTCAACTCCTCATAAAGTTAAATATCCCCTTGATTGCAAAGCTTTCTGTAGTTGGGCAAATAAAGTTAAAATATATCACCGTGGATCACTCCTTAAATTCCTGGAAATAAATCAATCAATAAATGGCACTTTGACACCTCGGGGGCTGCAACAGAGCACCTCAAAATGGCCGCTGACGGTGTGAGGGTGTGTGAGGGGCCGCACGTTCGGGTCACCGACTCCCGCAAGGCGACCCTGCCCCGTTAGAAGCGCTGACGGAAGGGGAAGGGCCAGGAGAGCCACGACAGCCGTCCAGGGCCACAGCCGCTGTCGGGTGGAGGGGAGCAGAGGCGCGGGCACAGCCTCACTCCTTCAGCTTCTCCTCCGCCATCCCCAAGAGAAAAAAGGACGACCTATGGCACCTACCCCAGGAGAAGCCCCGCGCCCTGCTAAAGGCCCTTCCCAGCTCCTCGGGCTCCTCGCCCGCCTCCCTCACAGCGGCCCGCGCACCCCGAGCTGTGAGGCGAGAAAATGGCGGGGCGGTGCCTTCTCCCCTCAGCGCGGTTCGCCCCGCAGCAGCCCCGCGGCCGGAGCCGGGAGAGCAACCGCCTCTCCGAGAGCTTCGGGAGCGGCTGAAACGCGATGAGGATGCTCCACCTGGCGGGCAGAGCCGCGCAGCCCGGGGGGTTCTCTTCACACCAACGTTCCTGGTCTCTCAACGTCCGATGAGACGAGTTTGAAGACATTTCCAGAGCCAGCCCCGCGAGGAAAGCGCGCCCGGCTCAGCCCTGAGCCCGCTGTGCTGCCATCCCCGTGCCTTCACCTCAGACACTAAACCGCCTCACGGCTTCCCATCCTGGTGCTTCACCCGAACGCATCCATTCCCCTCGTTGCTTGCTGCATTACGTTCTATAAGCGGTTTGGAGGCAGCTCTCGTCCCCACCCTGGGACGATATGTAATATTTGAAGGATTGTTTTGTGCGCTTCCAAAGGCACAAAATGCTTTGACGCCTCTCGGTTCCAACCTCCCCCGGTAGGGAACGCCTTTTCGCGTTTCCTAAGGGAAAAAGGTGTGAATGAGGAACTTTTCACAGAGAAAACAAGAGCCAGCAGAAACTCCTGTCTTTATTTCAACGCTTTGTTTCCTTTTGTTCGAATTGTCAGAGAAAACCCGGATGGGAACCAGAGACCTGGAGCAGAGCGGAGGCGTACAGCGAGTCTCCCCCCACACACACACACACACACCTTGTTTTTAGGGACCTTTTGGTCCTTCTGATGGCTATGAGTGCTTTAAGCGAGCACTCAGCCTGCTCTCTCTCGCCTAATACTGAGCAGATTACAGCCTTAAGCACAGCTCTTTTGGGGGAAGAAACGGAAGGAGCGGTAAACGATGTTTCACGGGCACAGCGATTGGGATAAGGATAGGGATAAGAATAAGGATGGGGATGGGGATAGGGATAGGGATAGGGATAGGGATAGGGATAGGGATAAAGACGAGCATTAAGAAAGGTACCGAGGGCAGCACCCCCCAACCGCTCAGCCCTGGGCTGAACATCCCCGCTCCCCTCGCGGCGTGGGATAACCGCTTCTCCGCGCTTCCCGGAGCATCAGCACCGAGCCCAAGCCCTCGAAAATCCCGGCTGGCTCCGCAGGTACCCGCCCCAGGGACTGCGTGCACTCAGGCAACGCCGCTTAGCATCGCTTAATGAACTTCCACATCTCCCTCAATCCTATCGAGACCTCTAAAGTGGGGTTTCTCCTTCCCGGGAGGGGATTTGTTAATGCAATACTTAACGCCAATCAAAGGCTTAAAAAATGTATTCGCACCTCTGCTGCGTGCCAAACTGCTTCTACATAAACGATCCCGGGGGGAGGACGGTGCTGGGATCCGACGGGGCACGGGGTGGCTCC